AAAATATAAGACTTACCCCTCCATCGAAATAGCCATTGTCTTCGACCCCTAATAATACGCCCCACCAAGACCGATCAAGCAACAAATAGATATCATCGTTGAGCTTGCATATGTCAGTGAAACACCCCTGGCTCCGCTCATGTAGATAAAAATCAACTGCGGTCTTAGCCCAAATGGTGTTATCCAGAATTGTGTCTGGTAGTTGTCTCCTCTCCACTTTAGACACCAGAATGGTACTGGCCGGTAACTCATACGAGAGCCAACTCTCATCCATCATGTCTGACACGTCAGAGGGTTTCTCAAGAATCTTACATATGACGCCATGTGAATTGGGCTCTTGAGGGATGACAGGCGAGTCGGGCTTCTTTTTGCGGTGTCTTCGCACTATTGGGGTGTACGGAGACTTAATAGCACGTGTACCCATCTGATGCGTGAACTCCGTCGTGCAAGAAAAACCCGACGTAAAGCATCCACCTTATCGGGCCGCTAAATAATTAAATACAAAAATCAGTAAATAAACAGACATGATATTTAAACAGTGAAAATAAAGACAAATATGTTTCAAACTTGCATTGTATTCACCCAAGTCATTATTCTATCATAGTTCACAAAATGCATCAGATAATAAATTTACTAAGCAATCTAAGTGAAATGGTTAATCTAAGTGAAATTACGAGTAAATTTATCATCAAGTTAAATATGGAAAATCTTAAACTTACCTCGTTGCGTAGAGTATGAACCTCATTCTGCAACGATACTACCATCTCACGTAGAGCGGCAACCTCACCACGTAAAGTAGACACCTCCACACGCCATGCACCATCGTTATCGCGTAGAGTACCGATCTCCTCACGCAAGGCATTGACCTCATCACGTAACTCCCTTGACTCATCCCGTGGAGGTGAAGGTGGAGAACAGGGAGATAGAAGTCGTGGCATCTTTGCCGGTCGCCTATCACGAGGTGATGGTGGAGAAGAGGCTCGATGATGTGACGGGATAGGTGATGGCTCTCGTTGTAGAGGTGTATAGTCGGGTCGATCAGGTGATGGCTCTGGGTGAGGTGATGGCTCTCGAAGTGGAGGAAGTGGAGGCTGCTCATCATTCGTGCCATCAAAAAAACGCTGACTAGCTTGCCACCAATCAGTGGCAAGCTCAGCCTCCGTGGGTGTCAGTCTCTGTAATGGAGTGTTGGCCTCCTAAAAATATAAAAACTCAAACAAAGTTAAACGTCTACTATTAATAACATGTTTATATATGATAGTATTTGTGTTAACTTACATTATTTATTGTCGCTGTCGTATATGGTATTAAGTCTTTCCAATCGAACAGACGTTTTCTCTTCCAGGAAATAGCCCTAGGAATATCATTTGAAGTTTTTAATGCATATATCCGCATGCTGGGGAAAGCCTCGAATATCCAAATCTACAAACAATATAATAACAAACATTAGTAATTGTTAAAAAATTAATTATAATTTTGAAAACATTATATAGAAATTCTTACCTTAAAGGCCCAAACAAAGCTTGACAAAGTGTATTTCGACTCATCGCCACGCAAACTTTTGCGGTCATCAAAGGCAGACGATAACTTAGTCCAGGTAGCTTTCCATATATACGAACCTCACGTAAACAGATTCTATCCATTTAGGTCCTCTACCAATAATATTAGCTCCTGAGGAATATGTTGTCTGGCCTCTCTGCCTAAAAAGCCGGCATACAAAAGTACTAGAAGGCATATTCGGACAGCATCGACGTCATTCATCCGAGTAAAACCATCTTTCTTATTAAACAATTTCTTCAGGTCGTCGACGTGTAATTTTGGCTTCTCTATTGACTCATCAGGAAAAACCCAGGATAACCATGATGGGCGGGTGATACGACGAGTGTACCGGCCTACATCATCGTGTCCGAATCGTAGACCAGTGATTAAGTAGAACTCCTTCCTCCCAAAACAAGTATACGCCGGTGGAAAATGAAACCATATCTCTTCCTCGCCACGTTGTATACTGTCGGGTAGATCGCTAGTCATGGTCTGAAGCCACAAATGGGTCAAATTAGCATCTCCACCCGGATTCTGTACTCTCAGCCATGGCCCGAAGCAGGTTTCCTCAAACAATTTTCTTTGTGCAGGTGAAAGCTTCGAAGCAATTGTAGTGGCTAGGCTAACTTTATTCCTTAATGTCAATGAAGCCGAAAAAAATTTCTACAAAAACAATAAACATACCAAGTTAGATATACCAAAAACTACACTGTGAAGATATACCAAAAACAATAAACATAAAGAGTAGTAGTTTATTCTTGAAACTAAAATTTGCAACATTGTTTTGTCTTTTGGTTGAAATAAAAATCGCAACGAGAGAATGACTATCGCAACGCGGAAATGACTATCGCAACGCGAAATTAAAATCGCAACGAGAGAATCACAACGCGAAATGAAAATCGCAATGCGATTTTGGTTTCGCGTTGCGATTATCTCGTTGCGATTTTCATTTTGCGTTGTGATTCTCTCGTTGCGATTTTCATTTCTCTCGTTGCGATAGTCATTTTCGTGTTGCGATTTTCATTTTCATGTTGCGATTTTAAGTATAGAAACTATTCTTCTTCTGCAAATTGAAATTTAATGGATTGCATTACTTCAACCAAAAGACAAAACAAAGACAAATACTAACTTCACAGGGTTAAAGACTAAACAGTTTAGCAGTATTGGCAGCAATCGAATGAATTTAATAAGAAATCTAAGTGAAATGGTTAATCTATTATTGAAATTACCAGTAAACTTATCATCAATTTCAATATGAAAAACCTAAAATAATGCAAAAATTTCAAAATAAAAATAATTAAAAAAACTAACCCTCATAGGTTGATTTTCCATTTCTGAATGATTGTGAGTGATTTCTGACCGTGAATGGTTGTGAGGGATTTCGCCGGAGATGGGGACGGAAATCTTCGGAGATGGGGATGGATTTCGCCATAGAGAGTGAGAGATGGAGATGGGACTGAGTTGTGATTTTAGGTTTTAGGTTATGAGTTGCGATTACGGGATATACTGTGGATGGTTCAGTGTTCTGATAATTAATATTCGTGTTTGGAATTTGAAAATAAAATACGCGTAGCGATTCTAATGGCGCTTTAAAAATCGCGTTGCGATTTACGGATACGCGTTGCGATTTTACGTATTGTCGTTGCGATTTACGGATACACATTGCGATTTACGTATTCTCGTTGCGATTTACAGATACGCGTTACGATTTACGGATACGCGTTGCGATTTTACAGATACTCGTTGCGATAGTCAGAATCGCGTTGCGATTTATATGTTCGCGTTACGATTTTCATATTCGCGTTGTGATTATGGAAAATCGCAATGAGAATTTGTACTATCGCATTGCGATTCTGGGAACTGATTTGCGATTCTGGAGATCGCGTTGCGATTTTTATTTCACATTGTGATTTTGTTGGTCATTTTGGCAAATCCAAAAAAAAAATTGGTTAAAATCGTATATTATAAGACATTTTTGGTCACGAGGCGATTTTCTCATATTAGTTTTGTCACCCTAAACTCCATTCCCACCGGATCTTGAAATATTAGTTTTGTCACCCTAAACTAAACCCATTCCCACAACTCTGCCGGATTAAATTATTTAGGGTAATTAAGTATTTAGTCACCGAATTCTCACTTTAATTCTGGTTTGGTCATACAATTATTATTTTTTTCAAATTCATATATTAAGTTATTTTTTGATTCTATTTTGATCATCCACAATTAGAATATTAACAATGATGTTAACATGTCACCATAAGGTAATACCATATCATCAATAAAAAAAATCACTTCAACAGTTTTATTTATTTTTTAACGACACGACTAAAATAAAATCGGAACGTAATTAAATATAATTTAAAAAATAATAATTAGACAATGAAAACATAATAAAAGTGATTGTTGATTGACTAAATACATAGTTTACCAGATTATTTGTTACTTTATTAGCATTTTTAATGCTCAAATGCATTCACTCGCCAATTAATAGTTTATAACTACCCCTTTTAATATTTTGATGTTATTGTATAAGAGTTAGGTGCGAACTCTAGTTAAATGTGAATGATTATCGACATTTTTTTATATTTTTTTGAATTAATCACTGGTATCCGATTTATTAATCGACTAATTCAGATCAAGTACTGTAAATGTGAGGGCAACCATCCCAACCCAATTTGTTTCATTCACAAATATCAAGGTTTGAACCCTTGAACTTGCGTAAGAAATCTAGTATATCATCCCACCAAACTAATTGGTTCAGAATAATTTCCATAAAATTTATACAAATTTGTTTATCGTCATTGTGGAAAAACTAAAACAAGTCAACATACTAAGTGAATACAGCGACTGAATGAAGCCAGTTTATTGCCAAAAAAAACATGGGTTGATTTAATTGATTGTATATATAATGAACAGTTTATGAACAGATTATGCAATAGGGTAGAGCAAGTTGTGTTCTGTCAAGATTGTGGCAGATTTAGGAACTAACAATAAATGAGTTTGGGATGACTACATTGAAACAATGTGGGGTACGGAAAAAGTGCCTGGAAGAAAAATGGAACTTCAAAGCAAGTTGTGTCCTAATCAATGCATCACAAACTCTTTCTTTACCTAAACGTCCATCCCCAGGACATGCTCTACTCTCCCATTACTTTGGCTCCACGTCATCATCCATTTATATATATATATATACTGTTCTAAAGATAAAGTAACGAACTTAGTATATCATATGCGTGTACAGTAAACCAAGGAAAAACACACTTGAAAATAAATGGGATTAGTGCTTGAAATTTCATTCAACTGCTACACTAAAAGCATTGGATGGGAAGCCTAAACAGAGATTTGATATAAGAACTCGCAACAAATTCTAAAGCATAGCTGGTGATCAAGGAAAAAAAATTCACATTTAACTAGTGAGTTCTCATGAAAGAGCAATTGAAATTTTCAATTCTGACAAGCTCAACTGTCAAAGACAGCAGTATAATCTTATTGCTTATCTGTCCAGATTTCCCTATTGATGGGTATTGACCATATCACATAGAAATGTCATACATTTTTTAAGCAATCCGACCTCAACTTACAGGCAATTGTTAACAGTTTTAGAACCTAGACTCAAAATAAAGAACCGCCAAAACTAGGCAGTTGGCACCACAAGCAAATGCTGTAATTTAACATGGCTGCAGTAAGATAATGAAAGACAAGATCAAACAACTATACTCACTCCATCTGATTATTTAGCTGATTCGGCAGCCTCAGCAGTTTTGACTTCTGTTGGGCACTGGGATACATAAGGTTTGAGCTGCAAGAATGAAAAGATCAACCCCGATCAGCAACAATAAATGCAGACACTTTGTCGGTGATGCTGCAAATTACAAAATAAAGACCTGAACTGTTTATGAAACAGAACAGGGACATCTAGCCACTGGTGTCCTTTATCAAAATCTCCTTTGAGGACCTATACAGTGAATGACTTGAGTGTGGAGATCAGAAAAAATGCCAGCTATCAGCTAAAATATAAAGGTCAGTGATACAAAGAACATGCTAACTTGCAATTCTATCACAAATGCGGATTTGGCGTGTCAATACAGAAATACATTTCTATCTTTTTAAAGTGATTCCTAACTTGCAATTCAACAATCAACAGATTGAAAACATTATAGTACAAAAGGAAATGAGAAATGGCATTGGGTTGGGATATAGAGCATAAGCGGAATGATCTTATTTCAGTTCCAAACAGACAGCAGATTGGTTTCGTGGACATTCAACTACAATGTTTCTATAATTCCCATGACTATGGGCCTCATATGTACAAGTCCACTTAAAATCAAATTTGGGAAGGGAAGGCTTAATAAGTTTCTGACATAAGCAGGACTTTGCACCTAATTTAGAATTATTTATAGAAAAATTGATAAATGGAAACACAAAACCGCAAGCAAGTAATAAAATTACCTTGAAGTCAGTCAAATCAGGAACCACATAGTTTGGCAACTTCTCCTGCATCACAACATATCCTCCTGCAGTGCATCTTTCAGTTATATTACGAACAAAAAGCACATACACAGTTCAAGCAATTAGAATTACATCGTTTCACACAACAGTTCAAAACCATTGGATTATACTCCATGAAGTTAATATGAACTTGTTTTCATAATATTTCATCACATGGCTCCAATATTTGGTAATAACCTAACATGCACCAAACTACTGGATTTTTGAACTAGCAATCATAGCAATAAAGCCTAATAAAACGAGCTTCTTCACTTATCCAAAATCAAAATCAGCCTTTTCATTGGATTATTAAGTGGATTTTATCCACAGTCACATAAACCCCCGCATCGGATCTTGTTTCTTAGGCTTCATTTGGTTAATGTTTGCTTTTGAAACGTGGAAATCGCAAAAAAAAAAAAAAAACTCAAATCAAGGAACAAATAAAAAAATGCCAATGTAGCAATCAAACAGAACCTTACCATTTTTAGAGGGTTATATTCACGTCCATAAGATTACCCATTATATTAGAGTATAATATGCAGCACTCAGTTCGAGACATTTTGATACTTAACAACTAAAGTTCTATCTCATGACGCTCCAGAAGCGTTAGGAACGGCAATGACTGAACCCAATTAATCAAGAAAACGAAAACAATGTTTTGCGAAGTCCATTACTTGTAAAATATTGAATCCCTAGTTACAGAGAATACACAGACAAGTAAATAACCATTCCCTTAAGATACCAAGCCTAAAATCAAATGAATCAAATATCATAAGCATAAATCCACATCACTAATAAAGATTTTTATGCTCGTCCAACCTGAACATTTCACTAAAAAATCACCAAAATAGAAAAGAAAAGAAAATAGTAAAGAAGCGAATGGAACCTTTGCGAGTGTGGAAACCAGTAGGCTTGCAATTTTTTCCCTTGTAGTAATCTCTTGGAGCTCTTTTCGAGGAGAGAATATTGAGCGATGAGGTTCGCTTCCTTCGAAACGCCCTTCCTATCCCTAATATCAATCCCAGCGGCATTGTCCCCTCGTCTTTACAAAATTATTAAACCTGCAACCAGAACTAAACCTTTACATATATATATAATCAAGCATTACGGGAACAAATAGAAGCAACAGAAAACTTAATGTTTATCAAGGGTTTAGCAGATCGAAGAAGCAAATATGAGCAAAGAAGGGTTTAGGTTTCTGGTCTTCTTCATAAGAATAATTAGGAAAAACGGCGACGTTTCCGTAGGCCCATTAATTTTGTGTAAACTGACATGGGTTTAAACATCTGAGAGTATAGTTTTTCTCCAAGAAACATTTGAACTCGTTCTTTTGATTCTTGGGGTGTTCAAGGTATGGAGGCGGTAAACCTGTCGGTCACCATGGTAACTCAGGCAGAAGAAATAACTTGATGGCGTAAGCATAAAGAGATTCAGAACAATTGAGGAAGATGATGCTTCGAAAATGATGAACCGAGAAAGGTCGTGGAAAGATGCAGTCGCAAATTTCCCCTTATTTACAGGTATTTTCAATAGCTCGGCAAGATTTGAGGAAGATGAACCGGAATCAGGAAGAAACTGAAGAAGATGATATTCCTACAATCAAGATCAATACAGAGTTAAAAAAAATTAAAAACCATAGAGGAAAGCCCTAATCATCAAACTCCTAGGCAAAACTGTCGCTTGTAAATTCTCATTTCAAGAATCACGTCTATGTGGAAACTGGAAGGTGAGTTCGACTGTATTGATTTGGGTAATGGGTCTTATGCCATCAAATTCCAAAATGCAAATGATAGGATTAAAGTGTTAACAGAGGGCCCATGGAAAATAATGGACCATTATTTAACCGTTCAAAAGTGGAGATCGGACTTCTTGGCTGAAAAGGTGAATATTGCGTCTACGGCCGTTTGGATACACATCCCAGGGCTACCAATTGAGTATTTCGATGAAATTATACTCGTTTGCAATGGAAAACTTGTGGGAAGACCGATCAAAATTTATTATAGGACTGCTTGGTCTACGAGAGGAAAGTTTGCAAGAATATATGTTGAGGTTGATCTCAACAAACCTCTGCTTTCGAGAATAAGAGTGGGAAAATTGATCCTTAACATCGAATATGGGGGGTTACATCTCATATGTTTTTACTGTGGCATGGTGGGTCACAGAACGGAATAGTGCCCAGTGAAAATTATTAATAAAACCCAATAAAAACTGAGACTGGGAATGTTAAAAAATAAACGAAAAGGAGAATCTAAATAATGAGACCCCTACAGACATCTCGCTTGATTCTAAATCGTCGGGAGAAGACAAGTACGACCCCTGGATGCTTGTTCAAAGATGACAGAAGTTCTCTAAAAGTAACTCCAGAAATCTTAGCAGTATATTCCAAGCAGGAAAAAGATGGTAACAGATTTGCATCCCTAAACGAGGAGACGACTAATGAAGACCCCAACCCCAACATGGAAAAGAGTAAAACTCAGACAAATGATGGAAAATAGGATGAAAACAACAGAGAACCCAATGTATTGGAAGAAATCAGGGAGGGGCAGAAGAATTACCTAAGTAAGAAGAACAAAGGTAAAATGTCGATAAACGTCATCTTTAGGGGATACTGTCAACATGGAATGATTGTTATATAAAGTTGAATATTACAAGTAACACTGATCAAGTGATCCATTGTGAGATCGAAAAGGATCGCAAGTGTTGGCTGATTTCTTTTGCGTATGTTCAACCTCATGATAATAAAAAAAATATTTGAATTTCGGGATGATCTGGAAGTTTACTCTTAAACCGTTAGTATGTCACTACAACAATTTTGTTCATTTGTGGCATCTAAAATATTGTCACTAAAATTTATATTTTTTGTCACGATTTGTATTTTATGACGTTAAAATTGGCTTCATGGCGAACGTCACCCTAAGTGTGTCACTAAGGGTGTGTTTGATTGGGGGAATGTGAGATTTTCATGGGAATGGAATTCACATTCCCCCGTTTGGTTGATCAGGAATGTCATTCTCGGTAATCTTATATTACCAGTAGTGAATTTTTTTGAGTATATTACCGGGAATCTCATTATCTCCATTTCCTTAAATATTGTTGGATTACCGGCGTTTTGGATTAAAATGTCCTTAAAAAATTCTTTCAAAAATATATTTATTCTGTCATTGAATAATAAAAATTCTACGAAGGTTAAATTACAAATTTATCCTTAAACTATTTTAGATTTACAAAAAAAAAGTCTATAATAATTTTATATGAAGTTCAGGGGTTAAAATAAAATTTTACTCTTTCATTAAACATTTTTATATTTTCAATTTTGTAAAAAAATTAAATTTATGAAATTAATTTTTTTAAAGAAAATATATAAATATTTTTCAACTTGTTAAAAAAACAAATATAAGGCGGAAGTGAGAAGATTGCTTGATATCTGATTTGAAGAATTTAGCCCTTACCGATGACATGACCTCTAATAGAAAAGTATGGAGACTTAAGACCAGGGTAGCCGAGTAGTGCGGGCCACATCCATAGGGTGTATCATCTCTGTCTTCTTTTAATGCCTTTGTAGTAATTTACATGATCCCTACTTTTCATACGTTTTTTTGTCATTATAATTTATGAAGGCTTAGAACTAGGGTAGCAGAGTAGTGTTGCCTTAATTTAGGTTTTAACCCTTTTGACTTCATTCCTTTCTCGTAGCTTCCTATCGTTGACTTCTGTGTATCACTCTCTTCATGTTTCCTCTTTTTAAATTTAGTCAGGTCTTACGTTTCTGTCTATATGAAGATATTTTTACGCAGAGATTTATTTGCAGGGATTACTTCTCATTACAGGCGCGCATACGAAGACTGCATATGAAGAGTGTTCAACTATGTATTTATTTATTTATTTATTTATACATGCATTGCATTTAATCTTTATTTTTAATTTTCTGACTGCTGGAGGTCTTCCACGGAAGCTGCTCTCAACCTGGCATTGGGGGCAGCCTACTATCCTACCTCCCCCTTACCCCATTACATATGGAAATAGGGTTTTGTTGTTGTTGTGTTAAAAAAAACAAATATATAATGACAATTTGGTCAAATATATATTCCAATAATCTTTTATTCCTTTAACCAAACACGGTAATCTTACATTCCTGCTAACCCAACCAAACACAAAATACAACATTCCCAGTAATCCTATTCCTTGGTAATCTTTTATTCCCACTGGTAATCTTACATTCCGTGAACCAAACGCACTCTAAATGTCAAATGTGACAATCTATATATTTTCGTCATATATTGTTAAACATAGAGTGATGTTAATGCATAACGTCATCTTATAAGTTGTATTTAGTGACAATTAATTATGTCATTAAATAATATAAGATTTCATCACTAATTATTCATATTGTGACTAATAATATAATAATTTAATATTATCAATGACGAAATAATATTTTCATAATTTATTTATTAAAAATAAAAAATCATCAAAATTACAATAAAAGACAAAATGTTTTAGAATTTATAAAAAAAGTTTAAACTTTTTAGAATTTACAATAAAGGAAGATTATTTTATAAGTTATAATAAAGGAAAAAAATTGTTACAAATTACAATAAAGTACAAAATAATTTATAAATTACAATAAAGTACAAAACAATTTATAAATTATAATAAAAATACAAAACTATTTACAAATTACATTAAAGGATAAAACCTTTTATAAATTATAATAAAAGGAGACAATTTTTTATAAAATACAATAAATTTAGAATAAGATGTAACTGAAGGTTGATGCATGGAAGGCTTTGCTTAAGAGGGAATTGACTGTTGATGCATGGAGGGCTAATGTCCTAACGGTTCCTGGAATGATTTCTGGAGCTAACTTAGAGTGACTTTGACCTTTCCTTGGAATGATGTCTTATTGAGATCAACCTTTCATAGGTTGCATGCTTAATCTTTCATTGGATTCATGCTCAAGGATCGATATTTTCCATGGATGTTGACTGAGATCTTGCCCCATCATCTTCCTTACTAGAAAGCAAACTTCCTCAATCAATATCTAGCATAACTCGTCTAACTCAATTTATAGATATATCATCTCCTGAAATTGAAAATTCATGATTACAAGATTAATGATTTAAAAAGAAATAGGGAAATAATGAAATTTAACAAATTTGAAATAAAATAAACATTGGTTTGTAATATATAGTGAATAACGTTCTTCTTATGTTGGCCTCTCATACATCTGCAAGCAAAACAAGAGGATCACTTGAACTTGTAGAAGTAGTATTGGTATTTGGCATCATTGCCTTTTGTAGTCCAACACGTAGCTCTTCATTCTCGCCTCTATAAAATGATTATAAGATTTGGTTTAATATTAAACCCTCGTATTTCAAGTCAATTACATGTCCACGTTTAAGTGAAATAAGCAACAAACCAAATGTGATAGTAATTTTTTAGGAAGAAATCTAACCTTAAAAAAACAAATGTATCCAATGGGAAAATCCCTCCATCATGTAAGTGCCTTTTTGGTTGCTCCCGTTTCCATTTTCAAGTGAACCAATTCCTCAAAATAAGAAAATGGTTTACTTAATGTTTAGAATTGAGTCTAATATTAGTGGTATTGTAAGTGTTAATCTCTAAGACGTGCTGAAAACACCACTCATTCCGAGCAAATCTTTGAAAACCAACTCTTGTTTTGGATTTTGCATTGACATGTCCTGTGATACAAGAAGTTCATAATTATATTAGATCAAAGAAAAAGGTAGGAAAATTAATATAGAAAGGGAATGAGAAATATTAGTTTTTAAACATTGTAAAACAACGAAACAAGAGGGTTAGAAAATTGAAAAACTAGAAAAGAAAGGAGCTGATGGAGCACCATAGTGGTGATGAATGCTGAGAATAGGACGCTAATGGAGCATCATAGTGGTGCTTTCGGGTTGCCTTGATGGCCTTAGACAAGGCTGGATGATATTCACCAGGGTGGAGCAGGGCGAAGGATGTTCGAGGGGTTCGCAATGTGTTGTTGAATAGTGGTTGGTCGAGTGGGGGAAGGTAATGGCTCTAGTGATCGGGA